ATGTCAGGGGTGTGGGTCAGGGCTGGGGAGCAGAGGGGGACAGGCAGGGTCAGGAGGGAGGGGGGAGGTGGGGCCCTGAGAGAAGCTCAGGCTCTGACCCAGCTGCTCCCTGAGCCCCTAATGCTTGACCCCAGCTCCCCCAGGGCAGGGTCCCACCCAGCCCTGCCCCGTGACCTCCCTGAGGCTCCCTGGAGCTGGAGTCTTACCTGTCACATGCACTGAGACCATCTTGTCATAATAATTCCACTTAAACGTTCCTTTCTCCAACCGGAAGAAGTAGGAGCCACTGTCATTGTGCTTGGTGTCTCTGATGCTCAGGGAGCAGTTGTTGGTTCCTGGGTCCCTGAGGAGGTGGAACCTGCCCTGGGTCTCCTTAGTCACTTTCCGAGTAGAGTTGGTGGTGGCCACTGCAGGGCCCTGGTCTGTATTGGTTCCTGAACGGAACCAGGAGACAGAGACTTGGCCATTCCTTGAGCCGCGGTAGGAGAAGCTGCAGGGCACCAGGACACACAGACCCTCCTGCACCGTCACGGACTCAGGCACATCCACGCTGTATTCGGGATTCTTAGGGGAGGGCCATTGGGGATGCTGAGGGTCATCACGGGGCACACTCCCCGGCCCCTCTGCCCAGGCCCCCTCCACTGCCCACAGCAGGGACAGCAGCAGCAGCAGCCGCAGCATCCGGAGGCAGAGGGTCCTGGGCTCCTGGGACTGAGCAGAGCAGCGAGAGCCTGCGGAGGGGAAGCTGCAGGACCCACAGAAGCTGGGGAGGGGCCGGGCCTGGGCGGTTCTCAGAAGAGGAACCTCAGACCCGCTCACCACTGCAGTCCATCTGCTCTGTGCTGAGGAGGGACACCCCACAGCCAGAGATCCAGAGGCCTGCCAGAGAGGGGCAGAGGAGAGAGGAGACCAGGCCCCCGTCTTGGGTGCTTCCCTGGAACATTGAGTTGGGACCAGGGCCTTAGGGACACTGGAAGCGTGTGACACTGGGAGGGTTCTGAGTCCTCCCACCTGAGGGGCTTTTCTGTGTGTACTGGTCACCCCAGGAGCTGGCCAACTCCTGCCTGGACCTGGAGCCACACTCCTCTCATTCCCTGGAGTGGTCAGTCCTGCAGGAGACTCTGTAGGGCCGCGTCTGAGCACAAGAAAGGCAGCGGGACACAGCCAGCCAGACACTCTGTGCAAACCCCAGGCGCTCCCTGCACTGCTGGTGAGGCCACAAGAGGCTGCCCCCTGGTCCCCACCTGGGTGCCCCACGCAGGAGCTCAGGCCTCAGCTGCCTGCCCCAGAGCCGCAGGTGCTGGGGAGTCGGCCACCTGCCTTGGTAGCATGAGGTGGGGTTCAATAGGGCACAGAGCTGTCCCAGTGTCCAGGGCAGACACCAGGTCAGTGACCCTCTAGAACAGGGGCCACATGGTGTCCTCAGGAGGCACAGAGAGGGCCAGTGTCCTCAACCAGAGCTGAGGGGCTTCTCTCCCAAGAGTGCTGCCTGCTGGGCGAGTACTGGGGCCATGTGGGGACGTCCCCGTAACACACACTGGCACTTCCACATTAGTGTGCCTCTCACTGTGAAGTGGCCCTCTGGGACGTCAGGTTTCCAGACAGCCCCAGTGGCTCCCAGGACAAGATGCAGCGCTCAGCTCGCGGGTTCCCCTCCCCTAGCAGGGGCTCAGGTCTGCTCCACTCTCCTGGCTCCTCATATTCCAGGGTCATCGCGGGTTGGCTGTGTCCCCAGGAGCTCCTTTTATGACGACCTCCCACGTGGCTTCTGTGGACACCTCTCACACACTCACCAGGTGACAGTAGGGTTGCTGTCAGGCCTGGTGACAGTGATAGAAAGCTGCTCTAAATATAGAAACACAAGGACAAGCCACTTATTGTGTGGAGGAGTGTCCCCATGTCACTTGGTGAAGATTTGGGAGAGGTTGGCGTGATCCCTGGCAAGAGTGTAGGTTCCCATTTAGGTGACATCTGCCAACTCCTCCCCATGGGGCAGTACTGCTCATTGTCCCGCTGACAGCCTTGGGGAGCTCTGGTGGCTGCAGGTCCTCTCCAGCATTTGGGGACGGGTGTCCTTGTTCCTTTGTGAAGGTTTCCTTGGTGCGTTACAGTTGTGCCCGAGAGCAGGGTCACTGGGACACCGTCATCTGGGCAGGGAAGGTGACTGGCTCCACTCAGTCCCAGAGCTGTGTCCCCCCTCTGTCCTCCACCTGTCCCCTCCCCCACCCACTGGGCTCTTCTACTGATTCACTGTCCTCTCATTGGGGCTCTGTTGGAGCAGGAGAAGGTGGGGTTCAGGCCCTGTTCCTGGGGACGCACAGCAGGACTTGGTCCACTGCAGTCCACGGTCCTCCCCCTCTGGTCGCTGTATTCCCCTGGAGCAGGCCGCGCCCCACCCCTGGCTGCAGTCTCCAGCCCCACAGGCCAAGGCTGCTGACCAGCATCTCCTCACTGACTGGCCCTGGATGCTCTGGGCCCAGTGGAGGCCTCTTCCCGGGGCCCCGCCATGGAGACCCCACTCCCCTGTGAACTCTCCTGCTCCAGGCCCCTCAGTGGAGATGGTGCTGTCCCTGTGCCTGGCCTCCTGTGCTCAGGGGGCACCCTGCTGAGGCTCCTGCTGGGTCCTCCTCCCCTGCAGGTCAGGGCAGGCTGGGTGGGTCCAGCAGCTGCTGAGGGACAGGTGGCCGCTTCCCCTTAGCTACAGTGGATGCTGCCACAGTGACCCTGGGGTGGACACTGCCTCCCAGGTCCATGTGTGTTCCCTAGGGGTGGTCACAGGGGAACCTCTGGGGACCAGATCAGCTGTTCCTGGTCTTTTGAGGAACCACGGTGCTGCCCTCCACAGAGGCTGCCCCTTTCTCCTTCTCAGCACAGAGCACAGGCCTCCAGCCCCACGTCCTCCTCCTCCCTGGCTTTGCCCATTTAAAACAGGACCCTCATGGTGGGTGTGAGGGGCACGTATTTAACAGGTGCAGTGTGAAGGGGGACGTGGAGGTTTGGGGTTGCACTTCGCTGGTGACTACTTATGCTGGCGTGTGTGCACGTCCTCATGCTAGGCACCATTTGTATACCTTGGAGAAGTGTCTCCAAGTCCTTTCCCCAGTGTTTTACTATAGCCATGTGTGTATTTCTTACAGAGTGACCATTTGTCAATCAGGTGGGGACCATTTTTGTTCCTTGTCATTTGCAGATGGCCTGGTTTTGAGGTTCTTCTGTGAGGATTGAACCCAGTGCCCAACAGGTGCTGGGCCAGCACTGCACCACTGAGCTCCAGCCCCATGCCAGAGGGTCCACCTTGACATGCTCTGGACACAGGACACGCCCTAGTCCCAGGGTTTCCTCTCATGTGTGACTTTTTCTGTCCCCCTTGAATGACCTCATCAGCAGAGCAGGTCCCTGTTCCCCAGCGTGGGTGTTGCACACAGGGAGCCCACTAGTGTGTCGGGGCTGGAAGAGCCAAGCAAAGGTCAGGAGCATAGGACAGGGGCCACCTCATGAGCATAAGGTCACAGGTCATGGCTGTGGGCTGAAGGGAGCCATCCAAAGAGGCCCAGGCCTTAGCCACTAGAGCTGTAGATGTTTGCTGTTAAAAGGGGGTGTGCAGATGAGATCAGGTAATGACCGTGAGCAGAGTTGATCCTCCAGGATTATCCAGCAGGTGCCTGAATCCAATCAGGAGTCTCTCTGTGGGAGAGGAGGCACATGTTCTAGGTCACGAGGCCAGGCATCTGCAGAGGCAGAGACTGGGGGACGGCAGCCAGGGGTCCAGGCTACACCCTGGGAGAAGCAGGGGTGAACCCTGCCCCAGCTCTGCAGAGACAATGTGGAAATTGTCCCCCCTGTGGCCATCATAGACCAATGGGCACATGGAGGGGATTCAGTGGGCAGCTCTGGAGGGTGTGGAGCAGGATCCAATTAAAGCCCTCTGTCCCCAGAGCCATTTGTGTGTCCCTCTTTGCACCAAACTCTTCCAAAGAGGCCTTGTATTCCCAGCCCACTCCTCCTTCCAGGTTTCCTGAATGTTCTCCAGGGAAGTCTCCACACCCGTCCCCATCAACAGCGTTGGAACTGCTGTTGCCCACCATCCTCCCCCTGCACAAAGGTCACCACAACAGATGAAAGGCCCCAGTGTGAGACCTGGAGCTGTCACACGCTGGAGGGAACACGGGGACAGCACCCTGACCCTGGCTGTGACAGGGGTATCATTCCCTGCGTATCCCCAAAGCACAGGTGACAAGAACTGAACAAGATGGATGGGATCGCAGCAGAATGAAGAGTTTCTGCACAACCAAGGAGGGGACCAAGCAGGTGACAAGGAGAGAAGGGACAGGGTCAGGTGTTCAAAAATATAGACACACATGGATCAGGGCTGGACACCCAAAGTGCACAAGGAACACAAAGATTTCACAGCAACAAACCCCTATTAAAATGGAGAAAGCCCCAAATAGATATTTCCCTGAAGCAGATTCCTGTGGACAGCAGGCGTATTTAAAACACCCAGGTCACTAGTCATCAGGGAAATGCAAATCAAAACCACAGTCCAGGGCGGGGTTGAGGCTCAGTGGTAGAGCACTTGCTACAGGAGAGAGGCCCTGGGTTTTGTTCCTGGCTCCACATAAAATTAAAAACAAATAAAATAAAGGTTAAAAAAATGGATGTCCCCACACCCCTGCTAGTACACCCAGGGTCAAAAAGAGAAAAGACGAGTGTCAGCAAGACACGGAGGAAGGAGCCCATGCCCAGTGTCTGTGGGGTGTCCGTCAGCAGAGCCGCCCTGTGGAAGAGCACAGCCCCAACCCTGAGAGAAGGACCCACCCAGGATCCAGCAGGCCCACTGTGGGGGTCAATGGCCACAGCAAGAAATGGGCTTGTCAGAGAGACGCCTGCAGCCCACGTCCATTGCTGCACTGTCCACAAGAGCCAAGGCAGGGAGCCAGCCTGTGTGTCCACCAGTGGGCATTTGTATATGAAGAGGTGATGCACACACCCACACACATACGTGCACACATAAGCATCCTGGAGCACATATTTATATACATACATGCACATACATACATGAAGTGATGCACACACTACTGCAAACACATGCACACACTCACAGCATGATCTTATATGGCCTTAGAAATCAGACTGTTTTTACACACACACGAGCTTGGATGGCATGATTTTAAGAAAAATATGTGGGAAATTGAAAGAGAAATAGCCCATATGTCATTATGTGGAATGTGACAAATTCACACCCAAATCAATACTACAGAGCTGGATGAGCCAGGAGAGAGGAGGGTCCAAGAGCACAGAGCTGCACCTGGGAGGAATGAGTTCCGGGGTGGAGGACGCCCAGTGGACAAGGTCAGTGTGACGTGCAGCCTATTTCAGCACAGCCAAGGAAGCTCCTTCCAATCTCCCAGGACAGAGCAACAGGGCAGACTCTGCCGGGCACAGAGCATCTTCCCACAGCACAGGGTGTGCCAGGGGGAGCGCAGAGGGGCTGGTGGGGTTGAGGGCGCTCACCTGGTAGTCCCTGTGCTCAGCCCTCCACGCTGTAGGGAGTGTCACAGCTCAGTGCTGCACACAGTGAGCAGATGCCACCTCTATCTGTCCATAAGAGAGTGACATTAGTGATGGTAACAACAGAGCACAGCGGTGCATATTCACAAGAGCCTCGTTGTGCATAAATACGGGACATTTTATTTGTCAGTTGGACCACATGGAAGTGCTTGTTCTTTGGGGGGTGATATTGATATATCTGCCCAGATTAAGGTCAAGAAACTCTTTGAATTTTCTTTTCATAGTTTTACAGATTTAGGTCTTGTGTTAAGTCTTTAGTCCATTTGAGTGGTTTTCTATGTGGTACAAAATAAGTGTCACTTTCACTCTTCTGCATGTGGATATCATTTTTCCTAGAATTTTAGACTATATTTAGCTGTGATTCTGCTGATAAATACTTTTAAAATTAGTTTTCGATTAAGATATAATTCACGCACCAAAAATTGACCGTGTTAGAGTGCACAGTGGGGATTTAGTGTATTCCCAGTTGTGCAGCCATCGCCATCGTCTAATTCTAGAACATTTCATCGTCACTCAGAACCCCAGTGCGCTCTAACCTGCACTCTCCAGCTCCCAGCCCCAGGAGCAGGAATCCACTAACGTACTCTCTGTAACCATGGATTCATCTGCTCTGGGCATTTTTATAAATTAAATAAAATAATCTATGGTCTTGGGGGCCTTTTCTCTCTCACTGAGCATGTTTCCAGGCTCTTGGGGTCATTTCTCAGTGCCCCTTTGGTCTTTATGTTGAAGAATCTCCCACTGTATGGAGAACACCTTTTATTTTACACATTCACTAACTGATGGGCATTTTGGTTATTTCCACTCCTTGGCTATTATGAATAACTCACAAACCAATGAATCACACTGCTGTGACTGGGAAATACTTTTTAGTTCACATCTAATGAAAAATTACTATTGCAATTTACAACTCTAGAGAAACTCTGTCTCACTT